CGTACAATTAATAAAGTATAATCTTAACAACATAAAAACTATATCTTTGCCAATATCTATTTCCTTAAAACATAAATAATCAATAAAGATGACCTGACCCTTCAACTTAAATAAATTCGTGTTTATTTCTTTCATAGTTTACAACTTAAACTCCTGTTAGCAAATAAGCTTTGTTATCCTAACGACGTAGTGTTTAGGCTTAACAATGGAAACAGGTTCCATATTCTCATATTGGAGAAATTATATCACAATTTTTAATAGAAATTTTTGAAAAATGTAATTTAACTAAAATAATAATTGCATTAACAACTGATAATAGTCCAAATATTAAAAAAGCACTTGAATAATGGAAAATATTAATCGCTTACTATATGTTGCCCATACATTACAATTGACAGTTAGTAAAGGATTAAATATTATTAGAGTACTTATTTTACAAGTTAAGCGGCTTATTGATTTTTTTCATATATCACCTAAACAATCAGAAAGATTAAATGCAGCATAAAGGAAACTTAATTATACAAATATTTCTTTAGTAACTGAAGATGTTTCTACTTGATGAAATTCTTCATTTTATGCCTGAAAAAGGTTATTAAGGCTCAAACATGCAATCATTTTTTACCTAGTCGTTTACAATCTGATCTTAATCTAGATGCTAAAAAAGAATATCAAAAATTACAATGAATAATGCTTACAAAGGATGAATAGAAACCACTAAGCGATCTCGTTAATTTATTACAAGGATTTGAAGAAGCAATGGTATTGCTTAGTAGGTTATAATATCACTTATGTATCTTGCTATATCTTGACTTATATCTGAAATTCAACCAAATAATGAATCTTTAATTACTAAAATTGAAGGTGAATTAGATGATGATGATGAAACTTATCTATTTGAAACTATAGAAAAAGTCATAGAAGATAATAAGGATTTTATTGAAATTTCTAACGAAAATAGTAAAAATAAAATTAAGTAGATATTTCTAAGCCTTTAAACTTTTAAAATAGAAATTATATTAAAGAAATAAAATAAAAAATGTATGAGAGTATGTCAAAATATTGGAAAACATCTGAAACTGTTGCTATAATAGCCTGTATATTAGATTTGCAATTTAAAAATTTACAATTTATAACTGAAATAACAAAGAATATTGTGTATAAAGAACTTCGTGATATTTTTAAAGATGAAGAAGAGGCTATAAAAGAAATAATTATAATGTTTACTTAAAACTAATTTTTATTTTAAAATAATAAATATTAATATATTTATATTTTTTAATATAATAATAGAACCATGAGGATAATGAATTATTTTTATCTTTAATATCACAATCTATACCTAAAACTTACTCCGATACAGAAACAATTGAAGGCAGTGAAGATAATGATGAAGTATATGAAAAAAGAAAATCAATTTTAGATAACATTTATGCTAAACCAAATGAATTGAGTAAAATTGAAAATGAATTAAATAATTATCTATCTTTAGAAGAGGAAGGAAAGAATACTGATCCATTTGACTGGTGGAAACTAACACAATTATATTTTCCAATATTATCAACACTTGTGCGTAAATATTTGGAAATTTGTCCAACATCAGTTCCATTCAAAAGATTGTTTTCAAATGTAGGAAATAATATAACAGCAAAAAGATCAAATCTTAAACTAGAGTTAGTAGGTGAAATGTTATTTTTAGAAAGAAATATGAATCTTTTTGATAGTATTTTTCCATCAGAAGATAGATAATCGAGCAATACAATTGATGTTTCTTTTGGCGAAAATTATAAAGTTTATCGAAATTCCTGAAAAGTCAAAAATTTCATATATTAATAAAATTGTTACGGTATTTTAATTGTTATTGTAAATCATATTCATTGATAATTTGAATAGAAACTGGCATCACATAATTATAAAAATTAATTTTTATTTTATAATACTTGTTTTGTCTATTAATTATTTATTCGTTAAAATTTCATACAAATATTTGAATTTAACGTGACAGGATACGATAATTTTTACAATTACTCATAAGGATAAAAATAGGGATAAAAATTATTATTAGATATGCCGTTAATAATATTATAATCGTTAAATTTCTAAATTAGGTAATAGTCGTCTCATGAAAAAAATTAAACTAGAGTTAACACTTGAATGTACAGTATTCGAATGCTAACTCAAGTCAGATACTTGAATCCTATACTTGAATTCTGACTCAAATTTTGACTCAAGTACTCTTTGAGTCAAAAGAATTCTTGACTCTACTTGACTTAAGTAATTTTTTTGACTCGAGTTTAATGACTAAAAATTTTACTCTGAAATATTAGAAGCATTTTTAATTAATCCAAAAAATTATAATAATAATGAAAACTTTTTGTGGCTTACTCTAGAATTATGTACTATTACAAATTGGCTTAAATAACATAATAAAAATTTAAAATAATTTATAAAATTACTTTCAACATCATTCTTTCTTATAGAAATATATTTGAATCCATTTTCTATAGCAGCTCATTTACCTTTTAATACAAATGCTCTAACTTTTCAGAAGAAGATATTGTTTTACTATAAATAAATTTTTCAACAGAAATTTATAATGAAGATTTTTACTATTCCTATCTAATGGTTGGTTTTGTACAAATATCAATAACAATATTACCACTTTCTTTTGATAATCCAGATCTTGAATTATTATTATTTCCAGATCTATTTTCTGATAAAATAATCACTTTTCTGATCAAAATGCAATTATTTCTGAAGATGATTCAATAAATATAGAAATATATAAAAGATATATAAAATATTATCTATTATGTATTGATTCAAGATTTTGTTTACATTTTTACTAGCTATACTACTTATACTTAAGATTAAAAAAATTACAAAATTATTAAAATACAATGCATCTTTAATATCAAAAGAATCAGATAAAATATAATATTACCCGCTTACTAATTATTCGCCTGTGATGTTTTATATTAATATATTACCGGATTCACTATCAGAGTTGAATTTTCTGTGAAAATATCAACATGATGCAATTATCATGATATATCAAACGAAAATCGTACTGCAAAAAGTTTAATAAAATTTTAATAAGATTGATATATAAAAAGCATTTAAAAATATTATATTAATACAAGCATTATTTATAATTATAAATAAAAATTATTTAAAATAAAAGTTAACATTTTGAAAGTGACAATTATTAAACTTCGGAACCTCCTTTTTACTACTTTTATTGAAAGGTATATTAATTGGTAAATCTTGTGATTCAAGATTTATAATTTGAGAAGTTTGTAATGGTTTCTTATTGTAATCTTAAATTTGTTGCACAGGTTCATAATTTCTTGATTAATATTTTTATCTTAATTTTGAGATTCTAGGTTCTTTATATTATAAGTAGAAATAAGTTGCTGTAAGGTATTCATTTTTTGTTGATCATTTAGCACTTTATATTTTCATACTGTATCAACACTTCGATGTTCAGTAATATTCATAATAATTTGTTCTTCTACATTTATATCTTGCATTAGTTATGCTGATGTTTTTCGCCCAGAATGATTAGTTAATAAGCTATCAATTTCAATGTCAGTTTCATAAATAAGATCCTTCATAAATTTAGATAGTGAATTCTTGCCAATATGTTGCTTATAATACCAGTTTCCAGTTTCTTTCCCTAATAAATTATAAGTTTGTAAAATTTATAAAATTGTTATAAAATAAATATAAT